AGACAATTGATTTGAATTCTACAATTTATCTACAATTTTTTGAAACCATTCGAGATCCTTATCACTTAATTTGCACTATGTGATAAATACGAGTGACGCCACCGAAAAATATTGTATAAAAGAGTGCCCCACGAAAAATTTTCAATTTCAACCGCCTCGTAAAAAAAATTTCGGTAAAAGTGGTACATGAATTTTTTTGCATGAAAACAAATTCACGTGTATTTTATTCAGACAATATTTGTGGAGCACTTTTACTGCAAAAATTTTTGAGGGGCTCTTCATTTTACAGAAGAATTACGTTTCAATCAGACAATGTATTTGGCTAATTTCAGCTGGCTAACTGAAAACATTCTGGCTGACTCAGCGGCTGAATTCTATGCGTTGCGTTTTTTCATCGCAATCTGTAGTACAGAAATCATATATATGGAGATTTTTGTTTTTTTTCATGTACCGTTATTTGTCAACAAGTCTGCCTATGCCACTGAACATAGTATACAGCCCATAAGAAATGTAAAATTTTCGCCATTTATTTTTACATTGCCAATACATTAGTTATGGGGATTTTTGTTTTGTTTATTTTTTTTTGTTTGTAAACAAATCTGCCTATCTTTTTGCATTGCCTCTGCACATTTCATATAGACATATACTGTGCACAATGCACAGTGACAATGCAAAAAGATAGGCAGATTTGTTTACAAACAACAAAAAATAAACAAAACAAAAATCCCCATATATATGACTTTTGTACTGCAGATGCGATGAAAAAACGCAACGCATAGAATTCAGCCGCTGAGCCAGCCAGAATGTTTTCAGTTAGCTAGCTGACATTAGCCAAATACATTCTCTGGTTTCATTATTCCGCTTGCCCATTCAATTAACGGGCGTATTTAAATCAAATAAACCACCTTTGGCGAAGAAACGCTGTATGGTGCAGAATAATAATGACTATAGACACTTGTCAATTATTTAGAGGTTATATTTTCTGTTGTATACTTTTCCGCAACATAGTTTGTGCGTAAAAGTGTTGTGTTTATAGCGAATACTGGGAGTTCTAAAACATAAATCCATTTTCGGACCCATTGAATGCGAAAAAAATAATTTAGAGATTCATAGACAAACCCCCTTATAAAAATTCACAAGGACCTAAAAAGTAAAAACACTACAATAACTACATAAAATCTACAGTTGAACACGATCTATCCGAAGTCAGGCTCGTCAAGTGTACTACAAACAAAATCAATGTCAAATTAGTCAACACAAGAGTGAAAAAGTACAAATAAAGTGTTTTTAGTTCACTTGCTATCACCAGGGGCTTTATATATGGGAACTGCCAAGAAACCGTAGATTTGTCAAAACACATGCTTGAACAGTTCATGAAAACATTGTGTGACATTACGTCAATTTCAATAGTTCGCATTCACGGTCTCACAAAACTCTGAACTTTGAAATAAGGCAAATTACGTAAATTTTATTTTTGAAAAATGTATATAAGAATACAAAAACGAACATTTCTGGAAATCAGGACATTTGGACAATTTTCAAGAAATCAGGACAGTCCTGATTTTTGGTCAAATTTGCCTAGAAAATCAGGACTGTCCTGTCAAAATCAGAATATATGACAGCATTACCTATAGCACTTAAATTCATTTTGTAATCTTCCACTGTAAGATTCAAGAAAGAAACTAGACAAATAAGTTTGATACACACACGGATAAAAAGTTATGTTTCTTAGCATTATTTATTCTTCTTCTTGAATCTACACCATATTTTTTTTTATCAATACAAGGAATTTTTCTTTATCGTTGGTACGAAATATGACAGTGACAGTATTTTTTTGATCGAAAAATTTTATGAACGATTGCGACAAAAAAATTCCCTCAGAATATTCTGGTTTTAAAGCGCAACATAATTTTTTCATAGTTGTTGTTGTGAACTCTAGGGGAGAAGTTTGTAAATTGACCAAGTTTAGGATATTTTCATAAATTTTCGAAAAAATGATACATCGAAATAAACAGATACCGTTGAAAAGGGGATCTCAAAAGCTAAAACTTTGCTGAAGAAACTTATTTGATTTAGTGAAGAATACTTTTTTCAGTCAATTTTCCATGTGGCTTGAAATTGAGAAAAAAAAATTGGTTTGTAAGCTGATCACCCCCTGAAAAGTGTCCGAAAATGAAAGAATCATTAAGTATTGTACAAACGACTGATTTACATAAAGGTAGGACCCCGTGAAATGAAAAATGTCGTAAAATCCATACAAAATCCTCTAATATCAAGCATTTCCATCTTGGTTGTATGACTGTTTTAGTTTTCATGTTCCTACTATTGTGAATACCGCATGATGTACGAAAAGAGCCAGGTTTTTAACGAGGCGAGAATTGATAGTTGTCGAAACCTATTGCTACTAATTGTTTATTATTTTAAATATGTAACAGTCTTGCACTCTTTTCCGGCCAAACCTCAATCAAAACCCACATTATATTCAGCCAGAGCTTGGCGGTGTTTAGTAAAATAAATAAATAAATAAATAAATAAAAAAAATTCAAATATTTCTCACCGGTGGAAAGGACATGAAATTTTGTGAAGACCAAAATGTACTATTTTCACCGGTGAAACATTTCACTGTAGAGAATTTTTTTTCGCCCGGTGAAAAATCAGTGAAATATTTTGCGTGCATTTCGCAACTGCTTCAAAGGATTCACTTCCATATTTTAAAGGATTTTAGTAGTTATTTTGGCTTTTATACAAATTTTTGTATTTTTCCATTAACACCGCCAAGAAACTGGCTGAATATTTAGTTTTGCAGGAAAATCATTCCAAGAGTCATGAAAAACCTGACCTTTTGATTTTCATACAATTTAATGTAGAATGTGAATTCTCGACTAGCCAAACAAAAACCTAAATTATGAATGCGAATGACCAAACATGAAAATTTCTAATGGAAGCCGATTGTCAACGGTTCGATATAATCTAAAAAAATATTACACTTTTAAAATATTGAGTGAGCTAGAGTGAATCTTGTGGAGTAAATCGATCCGACCTTTTTCAAGGGGTGCAAAAGAAATAAATCATTCGTTGAAAAATGTCGTCAATTTTGATCCAAATGGTTTTGAGCGATTTATGTTCATTCATAGCCGTATTTTTGTTTATTAGACAACAAAGGGAAATTTAGTTTGACTATTGACCAAATACATAATGCAATGTGTGTCGAACGGCAACGTCATTCAAGTACTTCGTTCGAATCTTTTTCACAAGCGGAAAAGAGGACAATTTGACAGGCTCAAAATGACTTATATCGAACGAATTTGTTTACTTCCTTGAATATCACGGTGGAAGATCATACATATAATTCAAGTGCTATAGGGTCCATATGTTCATTAGACCTTTAAACGGGGAAACATATTTGCTGACTATTTGACTTTTATGAATTAAATCACTGGAACATTTCAAAATAACAAGTTAGTGAGGTAACATTTATACAGAATGGCAAGGTTCAAGCCACATACTGGAATGAAAATTTGATCGAACTCTGAATTTCAGTGGTATTTAGATTTTGGTAGGCTGGAATTGCCAGTACTTCAGAATATTTTGTCTTATTGGGAATGTATTTCTAATAGAATGCTTAATTCATTTGTGTTTAGATCGTGTCTTCTTCTTTTGGAAACAAATTCTTGGAACGAAAGTATTAATGAAAGGATACAAATTATATATGGTCTTTAATTCTAATGAAAATATGTATTTCAAATGGAATACATTTTATTTTCCAAATTTCATTCGACTCTCATGATAGTTATATGGAGAAAATTAAGAATAATAATATAAAGAGAACAATGTTTTATGTTTTAGAATTTAATAAAATTGCTTTTAAACTCATTCCATGTTTGTAATTCAATTTAAAGAACCGGAAAATTACACATTCAAACCAATTTGCGTGGAAACAGACTTTGCAACTAAATTGCTTGCATGCAGGTAGTGAAATACTTGCATGCGACAAAAATTTTCAGCATTGAGCTCAGAAATACGTTAGAATAGAAAGAATCACATTCGTAATCCCTAGTGCTGCCATCGAAAAAATACCGAAAATGGGGATTTTCCTGAAAATCTGTCGGAAAATCCGGACATTTTTCTCAAAAATCAGGATTGTCCTGATTTTGTCGAAAAAACCAAAGAAAAATCAACATATTTTTTTTTTCATATTTTTGATGTTTTTTTCCATTCGCATAACAAACGGCATAAATACTGATAAATAAAGTAACACATTGTAAATATTTTTCTAGCAAATCTTGATAAATAACACCATAAATTTGTAGAAAAAAATAGTTGTAGAAAATAAGTAAAAAAAGTTTTCATGATCTATCAAGATGTGCATCCTGAGCAATGTCGTTATTATGATATGTCATTGCACAACAAATTGATGTGTGATGAAATTCTTCTGACAGCTCGTCAAAACACAACGGTACGGTTTCTCATCGCTGTCTCCAAATGGTCGCTAGCAATCAGAGCTTTTGAGGGTTGATCGTCCAGAGGAGGGTAATTTCAAATCCCAAATTTTTTTTGGGGGGTAATTTTGGAATCGAGTATGGGTGATTTCAAAAGTTGGGAGCTAAAAAAAGGTCATCACTTTTCAAGTGTACTACAAACAAAATGTCAAAATCAATGTCAAATGAAACGAATTACATACGTAATCCAAACTTTTCCGCACCGCAAAAATTTTCCTTACATTCCGCTTCAGAAAAAGATTTATCAATGAATTCATTAGACTCACCAAGAGAATTATTAAGTCAGTTTTTCTTTCGAATCAGAAAAGATGTCGTTCGAATAAGAGTGCGACAATTTGTTGAAACATCACAATTTTTACCAAAAAAGCCGATATGGGACAACATTGATGGAAAATTATTGCTTTTTTTTCAAAAATCCCTGATCATTTTGCCGAAGTTTAGTTCTAGCAAAAATTGACATGTATGAAACTTTTTTTTACCACAAACAATTTCGCTGATTATATGGCTATCACTGATTCCTTCGTAGCATTACAGGGTCAGTTGTTCCATTCGTACATTAGACGCATACAATCGGACATCCAGTCGAACCCGAAGCATTTTTGGAGGTTTGTGAACGACAGACGCAAACGTAGTGAGATTCCATCGGTTGTTGAGTACAACAACCAAACAGCAAGCAGCGATGCATCTAAAGCGGAGTTATTTGCGGATTTCTTCGAAAGCCAATACACACCGAGTGATGACATTGATTTGAACGGTTTGTTAAACGAATGCCGCAATGATGCATTGGATTGTGAACTAAACGAGGCCAATATGAACAAAGGAGCTCGACCGGATGGTATTTTACCGAAACTACTGAAAAATTGTGCGCATTCATTGGTCAAACCATTGACAAAGTTGTTCAACAAGTCATTGCAAGCGGGAATAGTGCCAAATGCATTGAAAACCTCGTGAATAGTACCGGGAATTAAATCTGGGAAAAAAAGCATTGCATCGAACTACAGGCCAGTAGTTATAATACCGATGATAGCAAAAGTGTTTGAAAGTATTGTGTACAATAAAATTCAAGCATTTGTGAATGGCAAAATCATCCATAACCAACATGGTTTTGTGAAAAATCGATCAACCTCAACAAATTTGCTGCAAATGGTAAACTACACTATGGATTCAATGATAGCGAAATGTCAAACGGATGTACTGTACACCGACTTTGAGACTGCATTCGACCGAGTCAATCACAAGAGGCTTCTGCAAAAAATGGTGAGCTTCGGATTTGGGCGAAGACTTGTCAATTGGTTCCATGCGTATTTGACATCTCGCACGCAGTTTGTGGGAATCGGCAACAGAAAGTCAAGAACTGTCACCGTCTCGTCGGGAGTACCAGCTGGAAGTATCTTGGGACCTTGTCTCTTTATTGTTTTTATAAATGACATTGTCGACTTTGTTACTCATGCAATTGTTTTGTTGTTCGCAGATGATTTAAAACTCATTTTGAGATCACGTCACCGAATGATGCCCGCTTATTTCAAATGGCCATTGACCAATTGCACGAATGGTGTATGCTCAACAAGCTGTACCTTAATCTGAAGAAATGTTTCGCCATGACGTATGCGAAGATCATCACCGTACAAAAATATGAATACACGATAAACAATGGTCAGCACAAATTTGACAGAATAGAGCTACACCGAGACTTGGGTGCCATTTTTGACGTGAAACTCACATTTGCCAACCACATTGATACAACAGTAGCAAGCGCACGCGGTGCATTAGGTTTTATTAAGCGGACACTGAAACACAAGTTTACTATAGAATCAGCAAAACTGTTATATTGTGCCTTAGTTCGATCGAAATTGGAGTATGCTAGTGTAGTGTGGCATCCATACCACCAGTCATACATTGACAAAATTGAATCAATTCAGAAAGACTTTGGAATCTGGGCACTTAGAGGAATTAACCGAAGAGATGTTAACTACAGATTGCCATCGTATTAATTAAGATGTGATAATTTGAATATTCAACCGCTTTGGAGGCGGCGTATAAATGCCTCAGTATTTTTAATTTATGATCTCCTATTAGG